CCCTCAGATCCTCAGATTCCAGATTTTCAAATATTGTCCGATCCTAACAAACCACACATCAATGGAAAGCATTTATTCAATGGTGTATAAGGAGCTACATTGTTTGGTGGAAGAATACTGTTTATTAATAAAAAGCAATAAGCCCCGTGAAGCCATGGTTTACAATGAATTTATAACAGCTAAGGGGGTTTTAACAATGCACCTTAGCTGTTATAAAATCACTGTAAACCACGGCTTCTTGCTTTAATTTAAAAAAAATGGATCATTATGACTGGTTTTGTGCTCCAGGGTCACGTATAGTGATCAACCGATATAGATTTTTTTTTTTATAACCGATACCAATTATTTGCATGTTTATGTGCCCGATAACCAATATGCAGAACCGATATTTATTTACTGTTGTAAAGTAAATAAATGACTGAGTGAAGAAAGAACATACTTCACTTTGGTTTTTCTTCTTTTCAGTCATCAGGGTTTTCCTCTTTTCAGGCATCTTTTTTTTTTTAAAGTGTTGAAAATTAGCAGTCTTTCATGTTAAATTTAATCTTCATATTACAACAATAAAAAAACATTTTATTTATAAAAAGCATCAACAGCAACAACACTAATGTTAACAATAAACAAATAAATGTAGAATGTCTAATGTTTTCAAATGGAGAAAAGAAATAGAGTCATATCAAGTTCATTTTAAACTACAGTTTTAGTAGGTTTATAAGATGAACTATACTCAAACTGCGATCGCTCGTGCAGATAATAAATAATTCATTTCCATAGAGTTGTATTTATTTAGATGTTTATTAGCGGACTAATGGTTATATAGTAAATGTTAATACAATTTTAGGGTGTTTTAAACAAGTGAATCTTGTTAAAAGTTACATGCGGAGGCTGTGCTGGAGCATTTCCTGAGCATCAACCCGCTGAGTGAACAGCGATATGAAACGAGACTTCACGAGACTAATGATGAGCATAGACAACAGACAGAATTAAATTCAGCGCTTTTATTTCCAACATGCGCTCATTCATGGCTGCATATTTAATTCAGGCAAAGTTACGTCTTTATTGGGACAGGACTTGATGGATTATCGTACGTGACTCTGTGAGTTGGTCTCTATTTCTTAGAGTCAAGCAGCATAAACTACATATCAGGCATTTATGTAATGCATCTAATTTGTGCATAAATGGCTGTTATGTTAAATAAAGTTTACTAACTACAGCAAATCAAGTTGTTGTTGTCTCGTCTCCCCTCAGACGCGCTGCAAAGGCGATCCTGCGCGCAAATCTCAAAACACCCACAAGATGGCGGCGTTTATCGGTGAATCCGATATTACAAAACCGATATCCGATTATGATAAAATGCTTAAATATCGGGAAAAATATTGGTAAATCGATATATCGGTCGATATAGTCCCAACATGCGCTCATTCATGGCTGCATATTTAATTCAGGCAAAGTTACGTCTTTATTGGGACAGGACTTGACGGATTATCTTACGTGACTCTGTGAGTTGGTCTCTATTTCTTCGAGTCAAGCAGCATAAACTACATATCAGGCATTTATGTAATGCATCTAATTTGTCATAAATGGCTGTTATGTTAAATAAAGTTTACTAACTACAGCAAATCAAGTTGTTGTTGTCTCGTCTCCCCTCAGACGCGCTGCAAAGGCGATCCTGCGCGCAATTCTCAAAACACCCACAAGATGGCGGCGTTTATCGGTGAATCCGATATTACAAAACCGATATCCGATTATGATAAAATGTTTAAATATCAGGAAAAATATTGGTAAATCGATATATCGGTCGATATAGTCCAGTCACATATAACCCCAGCCTAATTCTGTGGTTTATTATCATCCTCAGATCAGCCTCATGGACCCCCGACACCCCCTACAACGCCCAAAACGGACCTCCATCACGGAGGAAAGCCGGACCCCAAGCATGAAGGAAGACGCTTGCTTGACGGCACTCGACAGAACATCGACTTCAGTAACGTCGACATTTCCGAGCTCAGCACAGACGTCATTAGCAACATGGAAAGCTTCGACGTGCACGAGTTCGACCAGTACTTGCCTCTGAGTGGCCAGCCTCTGACCTCCGACGGCTCGTACGCTTCGTCCTACAGCCACCCTGCAAGCAGCGGGGCCTCCTGGAGCCGCAAGGGGCCCGTGGCGTCCTCATCGCCTGGCACCAGCGACGTGAGCCAGCACAGAGCTCACATTAAAACTGAGCAGTTGAGCCCGAGTCACTACAGCGAGCACTCGCCCGAGTACGGCGTTTACAGCGCCTCGGTCACCCGCCCTCCGTGTGACTATACAGAGCGTCAGAGCTCGGGCTACTACAGCCAGTACCCCAGCTACGCCTCCGGCCTCTACCAGTACCCCTACTTCCATTCCTCACGGAGCACCCTCCTCAGCAGCCGGTCCCACAGTCCCTCCGCCAGCTGGGATCAGCCGGTCTACACCACGTTCTCCAGGCCGCTTTGAGCCGTGTCCGTCACTACAACGAAGGACAGCGTTTGTGTCAGCTGACTAAGCATCCAGTGCCTGCTGATTTTTCGACACATCAAAACATTGACGCTTGGTGCTAGACGTGATGAATTTGTGGAGAGCCAGCAGAAATCCTCTGTGAGGACTGCCGCCCGCTCCGGGATCACAGAGAAAAGGGACCAATGAATATTCGGGAAGCATTAGCTTCAGTCAGAATCTCTCTGTGGTTAATCCTTCCTTTTTTTTCTACCTAAAATGTGTTCATTTTTAATTGCCTATTTCATATGTGTGACCCTGGACCACAAAACCAGTCATAAGGGTCCATCCAGCTGACTAAGCATCCAGTGCCTGCTGATTTTTCGACACATCAAAACATTGACGCTTGGTGCTAGACGTGATGAATTTGTGGAGAGCCAGCAGAAATCCTCTGTGAGGACTGCCGCCCGCTCCGGGATCACAGAGAAAAGGGACCAATGAATATTCGGGAAGCATTAGCTTCAGTCAGAATCTCTCTGTGGTTAATCCTTCTTTTTTTTCTACCTAAAATGTGTTCATTTTTAATTGCCTATTTCATATATGTGACCCTGGACCAGAAAACCAGTCATAAGGGTCCATTTTTCGAAATTGAGATTTATGCATCACCTGAAAGCTGAATAAATAAGCTCTCCATTGATGTATGGTTTGTTAGGATCGGACAATATTTGGCTGAGATACAACTATTTGAAAATCTGGAATCTGAGGGTGCAAAAAAATCTAAATATTGAGAAAATCATCTTTAAAGTTGTTCAAATGAAGTTCTTAGCAATGCATATTACTAATCAAAAATTAAGTTTTGATATATTTTAAGGAAAGAATTTTACAAAATATCTTCATGGAACATGATCTTTACTTAATATCCTAATGATTTTTGGCATAAAAGAGAAATGTATAATTGTGACCCATACAATGTATTGTTGGCTATTGCTACAAATATCCCCCAGCGACTTAACACTGCTTTTGTGCTGCAGGCTCAAAATTATGTTTATGCTGTGTTGTCGTTTGTTTCTATTTTACAGTACTTACAAAAGCTGAAAGGGTGGAGGGGGGGGGGGGGGTCAGATGCAGCAAAACCTTGTTTTGTGTCACCAACTAACTCTCGTTGAAAAATAATAGATGACATTAATCGTTAGCAATTGTTTTTCATTGTTAGTATAACACGTCAAAGGCTCTTCGTTTGCAGCAAGCTCATTAATAATTGCATTTTTAACACCGCCAGTCATTGGTATCACATGCTTACTGTCACTGGCTGTCTTGAATTAAATCGATTTGCTTAATTATGTAGCAGTCCCTTGAACATTTGAATCTCCTTTTAGGCTGCGAACCACAAACACACAAAACACTGTTTACTCTACACTTTTAAATGATACATAAGAATAAAACCGTGACTTGGCTGTGAATCTTCACTTTTGTTAACAGGTTCATTCTTACAAAGTGCTGGCAATATTTGTGGAAGAATACATTTTTATCTGAAAAAATGGCTGTCTAAACTGGAAACTATTGCACTTGCGCATAAGAATTTTCAAAAAGCAATTGCATTTAACTTGTTTTGGTGCTTTTTTTGTGTGCAAAAAATATGATTTTTTGGCAAAATAGTTGATTTTACTTTTTTTCCAAGTTTAGTGAAATAATGAGGTTTTATGGACGTATACAGCAAATATATGCCATCACCAAAAGATATATCATCGTTTTGCTTTGGAAATAATAAGTCTCTGTTCTAAGCAGCTGCAGCTGTCGGCGTCGAGAGAGGCTGCCATGATTTTAGTCAACAAAAGCTTCTGTAATTTCACTACCATATCTAATTGTGATAACATTTTAGTTACCATTTCATAAGACATAAACAATGACTACCGCAAGGACATGGGGTTTGGAGGATGCCTGAATGATGAACAGCACTGAGGCATTTTAATTATTGTAGTGTGCTTCATTTCAAGCGACTTGAGTAGATGAATGAGCAGACTTGTTTTCCTTGCAAGCTTCTCTCATCTGTGAGCGTGGCTCTAAAATGCAGTGTGATTTGAAGTGCATATGAATTATCAACATGCTGCAAAGCAACAATCTAATATTCCCAGTCTTCATTGTTCTCAATGACACGCTTTAAGAGAATTGCATATCTGTCCATTCCAGTATAACTGTCCGTCAGAGTCGTATGCTAGTATGCATTTCAGTCATACATGGAACTCAGAGGAATACCATATTGAGATGATCTTCACATGGAAATGGGCTGAGATTGGGAGTGAATTGTGTGAGCGTGGAGGGGTGAGGAGTGCTCTGCTGGCTTGAATTTCAAAGCGGGGTCTTGCATTCATGCCAAGCAGTCCAGGGAGGAAACACGGTGCCAGTGCAAAGAACTGCTGAATTTTAATGATCTATTCTATTATGTGCTGGAGGGCTCTATTGTCTCTCTTTCGCCGGGAAGTAAGAAAAGAATTAATTGGACAGAAAATGGAGAGGCAGGAAAACTGGATGTGAATGGATGATTACACGCACACGGCTGGATTTCCCCCCATGCTGTACACGTTAACAGGAATACTGCCCGATGACCAGTATGGCAATTAGGAAAACTTCAGCTCATAATCGTGACAACAGCGATGATAATAATAAAACTGATCATTAATGAGCAGATGGGATGTGGGTGGCTTTGGGAAGACTTGTTTTTCTCTGTTAAACTCTCGTTTCCTCTTGTGTTGGCCAGATAGTTTGAGGAGGAACTCTTAAGAGAGAGCAGACGTGACTCAAGCGCGAGTCTCATTTAGAAACCATTACTAACTGCATCTGCATAGGGAAACTCAAGTGATGGATAACACACACACACACAGGTTTACTTAGTTATTTAAATGGGGACATTATATAAACTCATCATTTTTATATTCAGTTACGTATAACAACCAAAGAGTATGCTTTCTGCATGTTCACCATTTATTTTCATGTTATGTTTTTTATTTATTTATTGCCTCCATAATTTTAAATCACAGTGTCATTACTGGACCTTCTGGTGAAAGCCACAAGCTTATCCATGGGAACATATGCAGGACTTCACACATTTAGTCCACTTAATATATAGTTCACTCAAAAATTACATTTCATAAATGTACTCCCCCTCAGGCCATCCATTTTTTTCATATGTCAAGTTGATCAAAACATCTAGGCATTATTTCATTGTACAAGCCATTCAATGCAAAATGATTGAACCAAATATCATAATCTTTAGAGCATATTTCTGTAAGTTCTGCCATGAAACTCTAGGTGGCGCAGTTCGACAGGTCTAACTCAAATCTGACGTAATGACATCATTATCACATGGCGCCAGCAGCCAATGAGCTTGATGCTCAAACATTCAAATACTTGGCTAGTGCTTGCCGTAGCAGTCAGAAACCCTCCCCCTTCCCCAGCTCCACCTGTATAGATCTGCAGCAGGGTGATTCACGTATGCTACAGTATATGGGGGTTATTTCATATATGTAATATGTGCAGCAGCAGTATTTCTTACATGCTCATGTATTGGCAGTAGCAATAGTCTCTATACTTGCTCTGCAGCAGCAGCCAAGACCAAACACATTAATATTGTCATGTACATTACCATGTTAAACCCTCTGAGGGTTATCATGATAGAAATACATTCCTGACAGATTTTTTTGAATTTATTCTGAATTGATGAACTACTCTCAGGTGAGAGATCTGTCACAGACCGGGACGTCAGGAGGTGTAGAGTGACTGCACTGTATGCTACAGAAAGATAATGCAATTTCCTTGAGGAAATGGAGGGAGAAACAGAAGATATATCAGGAGGTGTGTTCAGGTATGCATCTATTGTTCAGACCTCCGTCAGCGTGTAGGACTGCTTTCAGTGCCGCTGGAATGCTGTGTGTGGGAGGAACATTTGCTGAGAGCTTTCATATTCTCACAGGACGGAGGTGGAGAAACAGAGAGAGACCAGAAGTGAGAAAGCGAGAGATCTGAGATAGAACGGGTTAGAAGTAAAAGCAGTCTCTCCTCTCTCTCTCGCACTCCAGGCAGGGTTTGGCACACAAACACACAGAAAGCATTAAGAATTGTAAGTGTAAGTCTTGATCATGCTTGACACAACATGCATTTGGGATTAAACACACTCTCTCAAGACAGAGACACATCACTTTAGCTCAGCTCTATACAGTAGACTTCATTCAATTTGATAACAGATTACCAAAGCAACTGCCAGCTATTTTAAAGAAAGAAACAGGTTTGTTAGAAAAATTAATTTGTTACATATTACTAGGAGGTGTGCAATTAAGCACCTATAAGTTTTATTTTGAGTTTCTGTGAGAGACTGTAAAATCAAGTCACTATCATGAATTAGAAAACCAAAACAAAAACATTAGATCTATCTCATCTTGAGCGGTCTGTCATGAGTGTATATTTTATATTTCATATGAGGCGCAACTGCGCTCTAAATATGAGAGCACACAAACAAGTGAACTCCCAATGCCCTCATTTGCAGTGTTGAGAGTCTTGTAGGCCACTTGAGAGCATGTGCATGTGACAGGAAGTGTGCAAAACTCTGCCATATCTTAAAAAAAAAGCACACATACTAAATAGAAGCTACTGATGAAAAAACAATAAAAGATCAATCACTTTGAACACCCAAGAGCTCTGAGCTTAGAAGGAAATCTAAGGTTTCAGTTGTACAGTATCTCATTGTGAGTGGAATCTCGGAGAAATCTGAAAATATTAATGCGAGCCTCTTTTCTACATGTAACATTAGACAATGTCAAAAATGTATTTTGCTATTGATGATGATGATTCTGAAGTATTAAAAGATCTATTAGCCAAATACCGAGAATGTTCTTTGCATGTTCACAAGGCCAGACAGTGTATTGATGCTTATATGACAGATTAAAAGGACAAGTCTAAGGATTGTGAATTCAGAGCACTGACCAAGTCATTGATAAGGGACGGAATCGCATGTGGCATTACAAATGACCAGATCAGAGGCATTTACAACAACCCAACCTAACCCTAGAGAGCAGTGCACTGCAAAAAAATGCTTGTCTTACTTAAAAATTTTGGCTGAAAACAAGACAAAAAATTGAAAAAAAGAATCTGCCAATGGGGTAAGAAAAATAATCTTATTTCAAACAGAAAACACGATTATTTTGCTTACCCCCATTGGCAGATTATTTTGCTTGTTTTAAGCAAAAACTTAATTTTGACATGTTTTTTCTGAAAACAAGACAATCATTTTTACTTGTCTAGAAAATCCTTCTTGATTTAAGAATGTTTTGATATTTTGGCTGGAAACAAGGCAAAAAATCTAAATAAGAAAAGCATTTTTTGCAGTGTGGACATTTGCCATGCCAGTGAAGTGGAGCCAAAGCCAGCTAGAAACACATTATTTTTTTTATTTATTGTTTTATTTTTTGGATTGGTTTGGGAAAGCCCAAAGAGAATAAATCTAACCTATGGGTTCACAAAACACACACACACACACACACACACACACACACACACACACACACAACGATCAAACGGATGAAAGCATCAAATGGTAGCTCAGTGTGATTATCACAGCCAATAATTCATTGTTCAAGGAAAAGCTACAAAAGTCCATTTGCTCCCTCGTGTGGTTATATATATACTCACAAACACAGGATGGCTCATGCTTAAGTACAAAACAATGCCTATAGATGCTATAATGTCGCTCTGACGCTCAGTAGATCTGACAGCAGGTCGATATCAGACATTATTAATAATCGTCTCTTCATCCAAAGCTCTGCGTCACGACCTAAAGCGGCGAGTCTCCGTTATGTAATATAGCCTAGAATAAATAACTGAGAACATGCATTGCATTTTAAGGTTAAAACCTGATTTTTAAGGTTTTGATGCTGATGATGCTCATTTTCTTGTGGTTAATAAACAAACGCCGTTGGCCGTTTTTGTCAGACATTTGGCCACTTCAGCGTATAATCATGCAAATTAATTAAGCAAATGAATAGAGCCTCACATACCAATGAAAATCCGTTTAAAATGCTTAAATAAAACGCATTGATTCATCGTGGCAAGCGTTGAGAAGAGTAATAGGCGCAAGCACTGGTAGGGTTGCCAAGTCCTCACCGAGTTTGGCCCCTGTTGCTGCAGAGTGTTTTTTGTTGTAAAGATAGCATTGTACAAAATACATTTGCGCTAAAACATTGCCTTATAAACTTGCTCTACCCAAAGTGAGACTGTGTGCTATTTTGACAGTGTAGGGCCTGCGCAATAGTTTGCTTGTAATGTTGCCAACTTCAGGCAGAGCCCTGGGTGAGCCTCAACAGAAGGAAAAAAAGCTGTTTTAAAGAAGTCACAGACAGATTTTATTCAGCTGCACTTTTTTGCACAAAACGTGGTTCAGTGTCATCGAGTCTATGAGGTGATTGGTTGTGTTAGGGCCACACCAAGGACGATAATGCAAAAGATATTGGCTAGTTTTAAAAAATTGCTCAAATCAGACGAATAGCAGCACAAATGCAATGATAACCATATAAAGGAATCGGAGCAATTCTTTTCAAGCTGATGAGCGATAAAAACACTGGCGGGCAATCAGAATCCACCCGACTTTAAAGAGCTTGAGCATTTAAAGCGTCTGATGACAAAACTGCACATCCGGTTTGCCACGCAAGAGCACTGAAAAATATCATGTTAAATATTTAGGCTGCGCTACAAACAATCCTGGTTCATCAGCTGTAAATTTTCCATCATGCTCTCTTATTATCCATCTGGAAAATAATGCCACGCTTGGCATTTTAATGTGACTTTGAGAATATCTGCCTTCTTCAGTCCACTTATTGTATTCAGATGTAACAATACGTAAAAGAAAACACATAGCCTACTGCACAGTTGTGATCTGTACTCTCAATTTAATAAGTAAAACATGAACGAAATACTACACTGGAATGAATTTTTTCTCCCCAAATCCTTACTGGTGTCTCTTGTCTGGTTTGTTTCCACAGAGGTGCTTGGAAATGTAATTTTATCTTCCTTTCACCTGCAATTCCTTTTAGCATTGTTTACCGGAATGTTTCTAAAGCAGGGAAACACAATATTTATGACTCGAAGCAATATCCATTGATGTTCCAGTTAATGTAGGAACATTTTTGGTGAAAGCAGCATTACATGTACGTCACATAATAAAGAGTTTTTACTACGGTGATGTTTAACACGTCTGTAATATTGCCGTGGAAAGACTCCACAAAGGTTATTAGCGGTCTGCCAAAAGTGATTTGTTAATGCTTTGCTTGAGGGGTACGGAGAAATTCTCATTGCATTCGAACTGTGAACTAAAAGGTTCATTAGCAGTTGCTGACTGAAGTTACTCACATAATTTGCACAAAGCATCACGGGGCATATAAGAAAAAGAGTCTGAGTCTGATCACCGGTTTACCAGCATTTAGCATTGAGTTTAATGCCTAACAGTGATGTAACTGCATGAAAGATTCTGTGAATGCATAGTCAATCCTGGAAGTGAGTGCCCTTTGGATCATAAAATCTAGAAAATAAGACCGTTTTTTAAATTGTGCAATAACAACAGGGAGGTAAAACATTTGAGAAATGATTAATAAGGTAAATAAATAAATGTAAGCAAATGAAACAAATGCATGCATTTCTGAAACAAAATCTGTGTTACTGTTTAAAATCGATCAGTAAATCAATCGTAGTTGCAATTTAGTTTTTAGTTAGAAATATACTTTGTCTTTCAGGTGGCCATCAGAGCCCTGCAATTTAGTTAACCAAGTCATTTTTAAATGCATCAAAGATGTAGGTTAAATAAATTAAACAATGAACATTTTTTGACTGTCTAATGATCTGTGCCTCACTCACACCACAACCGACAAGCTAAATGTTTTTCCATCCTCCACATCAAATAAGAGCCGTTCAGCCATCGGGTAGCCGAGGATTCTCCCTCATCAGCAGGTCTCTGGTGGCCATAAATCATGTTTGAATGTTTCAACTGAAATATCACTTATCTATTTCTCACCTGCCTTTCATACTGTATAAAATCATTTTGTGCCTAGACACTTCAGCTCCCGTGTTCCTGGAAAAGTGGGATGCACTTAGTTTAATTTCCCGTCAGAAGAGAAGCAACATGGATGATGATGAGACTAAACTCCCTGCCAACCTCGAGAGGGAGTGTTTAGAGGAAGAAGTGAGAGAAGTCTTCCAGGATAATTATCGCACGGTGAGTCTGAACCTAAATTCACCTGTCTACGCTAGGGGTGTGTGATATTTATTGTCTGTGATGAAATCGTAATTGTTTGTGTAACGATGTGCAAGCTGACTGTAACGGGGCTGACGAGACATGAGGATCCATCTGCAAGCTTTTAATAGAGAGACGTGGTAAAACAGGCAGGGTCAAACAATGGCAAACAGGTATATGGCGGGCAAAACACAAGAATAGTC